ATATTTTTTTTAAATGTTACGTATTTTGTGTTTTGATTTAAAGTAGAATACATGTAATACTAAAAAGTTATTTATTGTTTTACCACTGGTTCGACAAAACCCTACTGTGCTCTGGGAAGCACCAGCAAGAAACCCATCGGAACTCTTATGACGAATACGCATGAAAGAATAATTGAAAAAAAAGTAATAAAAGACTTGAACAGTCGGAAGACATTCAATGAATGGGCGACAGTAGGAGTCCATAAGAGCAGGCATAGGTTATATGATCTTTACCATGAAAGGTCATATAATCATAGCGTCGAATTTAGGGAATATTTAAAAAAATATTCAAAAATATTTAAAAGAGTGTGCTCCATAGCCAAGTCTTTGCATTTGAGCAACAAAATTAAGACGGCTTCCAATAAAATTAAAATGACATAGAGTATAATTAATAGCGAAACTGGTAAGATCAACTCTCGCAATTCAAATTACCAGTTAAGTGTTAACAACAAATTAACTGTATCAGATCAGGACGTAGCAATGGTTTTTGAGAAATATTTTACTGATATTCCGATCTTGACCACTAAGTCACTGAATTCTTCTCCTGCCGTCGCCGAATCATTACTTAAACAAAATGTAAATGCGTGTACAAAGAATTTTACATTTCATAAAGTGTCATCAAAAGATATTGTAAAATATTTTAAAACTATTGATGTTAAGAAAACTGCGGATCCCTGGGGGATTTCCGTTAAAGTTATTGCGTCTATAATAGATACAATCGCGCCTCATTTAGCTATTATTTTTAATACTAGTATCGAATCTGGTGTGTTTCCTGATTTAATGAAGCATAGTAAAGTAATACCTTTATTTAAATCTGGTAGTACATTAGACCCCGCCAATTTTAGACCTACTATATTTTTGTACTACCAACACTTAGTAAGATTTTTGAAAAAAATGTTTTTGATCAAATGTTAATTTTTTTTAATATAAATAATTTTTTACTTCATAAAAATCAATTTGGTTTCACAAGGGGTCGCTCGAATACTGATGCCGGTGTTGAGCTGATTAAATACATCTTTAATGCATGGGAGAATTCACAGGATGCTTTGGGTATATTTTGTGACCTATCCAAGGCCTTCGATTGTGTTCACCATGAAACATTAATCAGGAAACTTCAACACTACGGTGTAAGAAGTGATGCTGTTAAATTAATTATTTCATATTTAAGTAAGAGAACGCAAAAAGTTGTCATTAACAATATGAGCTCTTCCGGATCGATGGTACAAATGGGCGTGCCTCAAGGCTCAATCCTCGGCCCCTTTCTGTTTCTTGTATACATTAATGACTTACCTTACATAGTAGGGGATAACCATGATATAGTATTATTTGCAGATGACACTTCTTTAATTTTCAAATTAAATCGACAATTACTAAAATATGATGAAGTAAATTGGTTTAATGTTAATAATTTGCATTTAAATGGCACTAAAACGAAATGCATGAAATTCATGACTCCAAATGTCAAACAATTAAATACTAATGTAATTTTAAATGGGGAGAAACTGAGTCTTGTAGATACCACCATTTTTCTTGGAATCACACTAGACGCGAAGCTTCAATGGAGCCCCCATATATCAAAACTAGCAAGCAGACTTAGTTCTGCAGCATATGCTGTAAAAAAGATTAGAAGTCTAACCAGTGTTGAAACAGCTATATAATAATGTCGTATGGTATTTTGCTATGGGGACACGCAGCTGACACTGAAATTATATTTGTTTTACAGAAGAGGGCCATAAGAGCAATTTATGATTTAAAGCCTAAAGAGTCGCTCCAGCAAAAATTTAAGGAAATTAATATATTAACTTTGGCCTCTCAATACATTTATGAAAATGTAATGTACGTACACAAAAATAAAAGTAGTTTTACAAAAATAAGTGATATTCATTCTGTAAATACTAGGACACAAGCTAGTAGTACCAGTTACTCGACTCCATCGAGTCAGTAATTCATTCTTGGGGCGATGTATACGCTTTTACAACAAAATTCCAGAAAATATACAAAGTTTGACCTGCTTAAAGTTCAAAAACTTTATTAAACTAAGTTTGTATAAAAAGGGTTATTATAATATTAAGGAATTTATGGATGATAATAACCCCTGGAAATGAGGTGATCGCTACCAAGTTATTTCTAATTTGTTGTGTTGTTAATTTGTGTAACATCATGATTGTAAGCTGTTATTTAAAAAAAAGTCCCGCTGGGTTTCTTGCTGGTTCTTCCCAGGACAGAGGTTTTTTCCGAACCAGTGGTAATCAAACAAAAGAGTGACTTTCAATAAGTATTATTTATAATCTATATTGAATAAAAAAGTTTTTGTTTCTGTTTCTGAAGTGAGTGAGAAAGAAGTTAAGAGAAGGCTTAAGGCCGGCCACATACATACGGAATTCCGTTTTCGGAATTACGAACGGGTCGTTCACACACATACGGAATCCCGTTTTGCCCGCAAAATGTCGAACGGAAAACTACCGTACGTGTGTGTGTGACGGATCATAGGTTTTATATGAACTTGCAGCGTTCGGAATCTTGAATCGGAATTCCTAAACGGAATACCGAAATGGAATTCCGTATGTATATGGTCGGTTTAAGTGTTAGCATTTTATATCTTAGTAAAATTGTGTTAACAGTAGAGTAATTCAATTTGGGATTTATTTAATAGATAATTTAACAGTGTTACCATACATACCGATTTCGATTACGGCAACTATAGCTTCATTTTAATACGCACTAGTTGGCTCAGCAGAGTAGACGTTGTTCTATAGTCCGATAGGTCCGCACTTTTTATATAGTATCTATATAAAAAGTGCTTACCTAGGTCCAATTGTGAATCTAAACCGTTCTCACAGAATACCAGCGTAAAACAGCATTTAAACTCTGCTGTGTTTCGTATGGTGAGTGTAGAGAACCGGAGACCCTTTTTACTGGAAATGAGGCATTCGATCTTGGTCCTCACGGGTGACAACGCATCTGCATTTTGATTCTTAATCGAGATTAGAAGTGTAGATGTCTATGGGCCGCAGCAACCACTTACCATCAGGTGGACTGTGTGCTCGTTTGTCACCCTTATCCTATGAAAAAAAAATTCCTAATCAAATTAACCACACACACAAAATTTCATCAAAATCGATCCAGCCTTTTAGAAGGAGTTCAGTCGCATACACACGGACAGAAGAATTATATAATATATAATATACATGTAATATATATATATATATATATATATATATATATATATATAAGCCTGAATCATTCTGTATATTGATGAAAACCGCCTCAAAATCCGTAGCGTAGTTTAAAAGATCTAAGAGTACAGACTGCGGGAAGCGACTTTGTTTTATACTATGTAGAGATAATAATTTATAAATAACTCGGCAACAGTCTTCTACGTTTGTGGTTTGTTTGAAAACACATATTCTTTCCTCTATATATATGTATATATATTTATACTACATTTGTATATAGTGTAAATATATAATTTATAAATAACTCGGCCAGTGCCACCGAGTCGGGTCAAAATTTTGTGATATCCTTTTTCAGCACTTAACCCTTTCGCTGTCCCGTGCACTACATATAGGTCATTGCTATTGTCTTACTATTGTGTCTCAAAACCGGACAGTGAAAGTGTTAATCAATATATTGTGTGAATATGATGACTCATATTTGATGCATAAATTTATTAATAATTAATAACATACTAAAATGCCCCTGAGACCCTTTTTACTGGAAAAGAGGCATTCCATTAAATTCCTCACGGGTGACAACGCCTCTGCGTTTTGATTCGCAAACGAGGATATTATGTAGATGTCTATGGGCCACAGCAACTACTTACCATCAGGTGGACTGTATGCTCGTTTGTCACCCTATCCTATAAAAAAACATAGTGAACACGTATAGGGCGGGTTTCACCAAAGCAGAAGGGAGATACGAGTTTGTCTTTCCATCTATGTGGCAACTCGAGTGACGCCTGCTCCAGTCTTCTGTGACTTGCAGACATCTGGTTTGTTTCAGAACTCATACTTCTTCCTCTTCTCTCGACTGTAAAAACTCATACCCTGTTCTTTCTACGATACTTTTTTGGAACTTTGGAACTCGCCTCTACACTCGAATTGTTTATATTGGCAATTTTGGTTTTGAACGTAATTGAATCTTTAAACTTTAGGAGACGTTAATACTTGTAAAAGAATTTATACTTATTTATTACAGTAAGTTAATTGCTTGGTCACTTTTTTAAATATAGGGTTTTAAAGATTTGTGAGAAATTGTGTGATTAGAGAAGAGTGTGGTTTGCAAGGTGATGTTGAATGAGGAAAGAGTGACAAAGCAAGTTTATGTTGCAAAATTGAACGGCAGTGTCGGGAGGGGACGCCCTAAGCGAAAGTTTATCGACCAAATTAGCGATATTTTGAAAATGGGCTAAATCAAGAGTATCTTTAACCGACGAGCGTGTATGCGTAGGTATATGGATGTGGAGGAAGCGAGAGAGGTGTGTCAGGATCTTGCCAAATGAATTCTGTAGTCTCTGCCTACACTTCTGGGTGACAGGCGTGAGTATTTATGTATATGTAATATGTAGTATATTTTTTAAGTTATTTTCCAATTCCGACGTTTCGAACACTGCAGTACCCATATACATACGTGAACTGTGCCCTCAGTCTTGCGTTGTGTGCTGCTCTGTGCTTACTGTTAACTGCTTTTTTATTTTAACCGTAATAGGTTACATACCATGTGGAGTATGAGCTATGAGGATTTCGTATGTATTAGTTTGTAAATGTGATCGAGAAAGCCTATAAGTCTAGAAAATTCTAGATTGCTACTCATGTTCGCGAGAAAGTTGTTTACGCTAGAACAAATATGTAGATGTTACGAAGTAAATAAAAACGTTAGACCTCTGCTCGAAATGCTAGATCCTAGTTGAAAATGCTAGAAGCTGTTAACAATTGCACTATCCCCTCCCCTCTCCAATCCAGAGCTAGCGGGTGCCGCATCGGATACGGACAGCGAGGGTTCACGCGGTGGGATGGCGGATGCGCAGTCCCAGGATGACCCGGCGACGACGAAGCAGGGCATACTGGCGAGGATACAAAACTTATACGTCGAGGACCCGGATAGAGAGATTGGTGTGGTGAGTAGACCAATTTTACCAGAAACCACTTTTGTCTTTCTAGGAATCTGGCTGTTTATGTACTATCTTCTTTTGACGTGTTGTGGCGGTGTATAATTGTCCACTATAACATCCCGTGAGTGTCGTAAGAGGCGACAGAGGGAAACTTAAAACATGAGATGGGCAGCAGCATCTTAGTGATAAACTCAAAATAATTTAAAAAAAAACTTAGGTGCCTTGTGCCAACTGGCCTGTTAAGCGTAACGACAATATCCCTATGATGGCAATCCATAGGGAAGGCCTATTTTTAACAGTGGAGTTGTAATGGACTATAATGATAATTTAAAATTAAAAATTTTGTACAACCGACTTCAATATAAATTATTAAGATAAACTCAAAAACTATTGGTCAGATCTTGATCAATTTTATAATTTTACAAATTTTATAATTTATATGGGACCACATGGGAAGCACCAGCTTTCAAATAAAAAAAGAATCATCGAAATCGGTTCACCCAGTAAAAAGTTATGAGGTAACACATATAAAAAAGAACATATAGTCTCCTTTTTGAAGTCGATAGAAAAATGAAATATATAAAAGTACTTGTGTGTTATGCGACAAGATTTTTTAATGGATATGGAGGCAAACGAGCATATGGCTCGCCTATGAACATCTGCAACACTAAAAGAATTGCAGGTGCTTTTGTTGGAGGTCCCTAAGTCGCATCGGTCCGGGAAAACCGCTAGCGACAGTAAGTGTGGTCGTGCGTAGCAGAAAATCTGTGTAAAACTCACGTTAGTGGACTGCTAACTATTGACATGATGTCGATGAAGATTCGAGTTCTGTCGCATTGTACGATGTTGGAATCGAATAGCTAAATTAATCCAAACAATAATTCCTCTGAGCTCTTCCCGTGTTATATGCGATACAAGACGCATAGAGGTGCAATGTCTCTTCGCAAAGCCAGTATTTTTTTAAATATCCGTTAATGAACGCAGGACAAAAGAATAACCCCAAGATTTTCTGTAGCTAGCACACAGTCCACCTTTTTAACAGTGGTAGAGCCACGCGGCAGCTTTTGCTGTCGCACGGATGGGCCGGCTCGAACCGGGGTGGTACCACGACCTCACAGAATACCAGCGTGAAGTAGAGGTATACCTCTGCGTTTCGCTTGGTGAGTGCAGGTGGCCGGAGGCCCTTTTTACTGGAAATGAGGCATTCCATCTTAGTCCTCACGGGTGACAACGAATCTGCATTTTGATTCGCAAACGAGGATAGATGTAGATGTCTATGGGCCGCAGCAACCACTTACCATCAGGTGGACTGTGTGCTCGTTTGTCATCCTTATCCTATAAAAAAAACCTGATGGTCAGGTTTTTTTTAATAGGGTGTGACCCATAGACGTCTACATTTATCCCCAATAAAAAATCAAAATGCAGATGCCTCATCACCCGTGAGGATTAAGATGGAATGCCTCTTTTCCAGTAAAATGGGTCTCCGGTTCTCTACACTCACCATACAAAACACAACAGTGTCAATCTGTTATTTTACGCTGGTGTTCTGTGAGAGCGTGGTCCTTCCCCGGTCGAGCCGAGCCATTCGTGCTATACTACCAATATAGCTGCAGCATGGCTCTACCGCGTATAAAAGTTCATCGCATGTATGTGTGGGCTGGAGTAGATGGTTACCATCGTTATAAAAAAAAATTATAAATAATAGAGAATATTTTCCATAGATGCCATACCCTTTATAGGCGGTATGGCATCAGCAGTTTTTTAACCCCGACAAAAACAGATAGGTGGTATATGTTCGTAGTGTGCATCTGTGTATTTGTGCGTCTGGCTGTGGCATCATAACCCCTCAACGGACGAACTGATTTAGATTAATTTTTTTTCGTTTGAAAGGTGTCTTAATCAAGAGTGTTCTTAGCTATGACTTAAGAAAATCTGTTCAGCCATTTGAAGATCACCAGCCCATTATGTTTCGGGGGTTTTAAAATGTTTTAATTTAAGTTATGTATTATTTTGATCTATTATCAGGAAGAGCTGCTACACATCTCCTATTTCAGGTTTTCTCTGTTGCCTCTTACGATATCCACGGGATGACATGGAGTAGTTGATTCTCCTCGTGGATCATGTAGGTAAAGATCTTTAAATTATATAAAAAATATTTAATTGACTTGAATATTCTTCTTTTCACCAGGCTGGTGAATTAGTTGAAGAGGTGGCCGAGGAGAACAAGTCGCTACTCTGGTTCCTGTTGAAGCAGGTGCGACCTGGTATGGACCTCAGTAAAGTGGTACTGCCCACTTTCATCCTTGAGCCGAGGTCCTTCCTGGATAAGTTGTCGGACAATTATTACCATGCGGATATTCTGGCTCAGTAAGTAAAGTTGTTTTTTTTTTTGCGAGCATCTATTCAGAACTTGTGAAAAACTGCGTTTTAGGAGCCAGTGGCATCTCAGATTATTGTGTTGTCAATTTATGTATACGAGAAGAAGTAAAAAAGTCCACCGAATGAAAAGGAAAGTGCGTTAAAATAACATAATAGGGGTTAAATAAAACATGAAATTATTTGTACTTTTCGATATATTCTCCATTAATGTGGGCATCCACGACTTTTTCTACCACCAGGGCGGCGCCACTAGAGAGTGAGGTATAATATTTGACAGATTTCATAGCGGGGAAGTTAATTTGTTCGGAAAATGTAAAAGTTATTGTTTATTTTGTACTATTAGCTATATTTTATATTAATAACATTAAAAATAATTAAACGAAACCACATATATTCATAAAACTAGAAAAATTATAAAAAAACTAAAAAAAGTAAAAATGTGCAAAAAATTGTGTTATAGTGGTAGAGCCACGCGGCAGCTTTTGCTGTCGCACGGATGGGCCGGCTCGAACCGGGGTGGTACCACGACCTCACAGAATACCAGCGTGAAGTAGAGGTTTACCTCTGCGTTTCGCTTGGTGAGTGCAGATGCCCGGAGGACCTTTTTACTGGAAATGAGGCATTCCATCTTAGTCCTCACGGGTGACAACGCATCTACATTTTGATTTGTAACAGAGGATAGATGTAGATGTCTATGGGCCGCAGCAACCACTTACCATCAGGTGAACTGTGTGCTCGTTTGTCACCCTTATCCTATAAAAAAAAATTAAAGAGCAAACCCACTGGTTGGCATAGGCATTATTTTGTGTATTAATTTAATACTCTAGAAACTAATAAACTTTTATTAAAAACCAACTTCTCAATTAAATGACATTGTATAACAAAAAACTTTACCTCAGTGTCAACTAGCGACATCTGGTGAGCGGAAAATTATTAGCCTCATTTCCGTTGTCTGTTCTCGCATTACATTCACATCTGTATGTGTGTATGTACAATGTATATTTTCGTGATCAATAACTAACTGTGAATGTTAAACTATATTTATAACACATTTAATATTATATTCTTTTTAATTACGTTATTATTGCACTTTATGATATTACACTTCTAGTTATTATGGTAAAATTAAACCTCATGTTTTTTTTTCTATAGAATAAGGGTGATAAACGAACACACAGTCCACCTGATGGTAAGTGGATACTGTTGCCAATAAACATCTACGTCTATCCTCGATTAAGAATCAAAATGCAGATGCGTAGCCTCGTTTCCAGTGGTTTAAGAAACAATGCATTTGGAGGACATTAGAAGTCCGATGTCCGTCTGTTTGGCGTACTTATTTCTTCATAACCTTCGGAAATGAGATAGATCAATATATATAGTAGATCTATCCCCCAGCAGTGGGAAGTATTACAGCTATTCATCTCCGTTACAGTCTATAAAAGTCCACTCCTGGACGGAGGCCTCTCCCATAGATTGCCACATAGAAAGGATTATGTCATAGTTGCCCGGCTTGGTTTTTTTTTTTCATTATTTTGAGTTGCATCCTCTGCAGTACAGTTCCTCTCTGTCGGGGGCGTCTATTTATTATTTAGGTGTTTAGGGGGGGAAGGGGGTCAAGCCGTATCTCACGTAATCTCATGTGGGGGAAAGAGAGGGTCTCGGTAAACATCAAGTAATTTTTTTTCCGCAAGTAAAATTTCGAAAATATTGTTTTAAATTGAGTGAAATATGGCTAAAACCCACACAAAAATATTTATCGCGGTTATGCAAACTCCACAAATTATATAAAAATAATTAAGCAAATTATGTTTGTTTTTTTTTTATATAAATCCAACGCAAACAAACACAGATTAACGTATTTACACTAAAAATACACATTTTGAAAAATCTCATGTGAGATTCGAAGGGGGGGGTATCTTGTGGGGGGAGCTATATCTCACGACATCCACCAGGGATGGGGGGAGGGTAGAAAAATCGCCTCATTAATGGACACTCCCTCGCCTCTTACGACACCCACGGGTCAACTATACCCTATGTATAGTGGATATTCTTACACTGCCATTATACGATTATAAGCTACAACTTTACTTTATTAATGTTCTGTTTCCAGGGCTCAAACCTTAGAGGACCCTTACCAAAGGTTTAAATGCGTGCTGCGCTGGTACCTGTCCGGTCTGTACAGAAAGCCCAAGGGTCTCAAGAAGCCATACAACCCTGTACTAGGCGAGGTTTTCCGCTGCTGCTGGAAGGACAGACAGGGGGACACCTACACTTACTATATAGCCGAGCAAGTTAGTATTGTATCGTGTTGCCCTCATGTTCACACTAAAATAGAATGCATCGTTTTCAGGTAAAAAGGTTACGTAGGTCACTCAATAAGTTTTGAGATGCTCGCAATTTAAAAATGGAACGCACCCGTTTTATATGTTTCTAAAAAGCAAATTTATTTAAAAATAGAACTCCATAAGCCAATTGCTCAATATTTAAAAAAAAAGAACAAAGTTCTATTAATTTTCCTGCAACGCTTCCCGCGCTTTTTGCATTTAAAACGATGGATCTTAACCGTGCACATTTGCGCGCTACGATATATTATGATTTTAAATTTGTTTTAACCGAACAATTAAGTTTACAACGGTCACAATCAGCATTAGGTGACTCAGCTCCATCACGCGCAACAATTTTTAGATGGTTGGCTGAATTCAAAATGGGTAAAATTAATCTTAAAGATGACCAAAGAACCGGGGTCCCGCAAACAGCACTAACGGCAGAAAATGTATGGACTACTGAAATGTTGTTGTAAATATTATTAATAGTATCTAGAATACCTTTAGTGACCTACGTATCCGGATCTCTTCAATTTTTATTCATTTTTTAGAAACATTACCCCCATACTAGGATATTCTCCTGTATCGTGGAGACAGTTTACATACATAAATTGCACTAGGGCAAACAATCAGACCCGGAACAATTACTTGTAGGCCATACAAATACTAGTTCCGTGCGGGATTCGAAGCCGCGGCCCTCTGCGCTGTAACTAAGCCACTGCGCTATAGAGCCGTAAACACTCATTTCTACATTCATTATACGAAACACACCAGCAATGAGCTGCTATTTGTAGGGATTATATACTCTTTGTATACTGCTGTCTACGGCACATCTCTCAGTTTATTGGCGGGAACTTGACCGGCGCCGGCTTGCGTCTCTTGTATTATTGTTTAAATAATGGTTTGAAGTGAATTTTGATATGTAAAAGTGGTGCGATTTTGTGTATTAAGTGTCTGCACATGTGAACTATTAGTGGAAACTGTGAAACAAGTGCTTTGATGGTGATGTGGTTCTCAAAATAAGGTGTCGTCTGTCTGCTTAGGCGCCTTGAGATACCATCGCCAACCGTCAGCTGTCTGCCGGCTCAAGTTGCCGTCAAAATCTCCCAAGGGCTGCACGATGTTACGCATCAATATATTGTGAAGCAGTATACTATGAAGGATAATTATTATAATATATTGTAACTTCAGGCTCAGAAGGGCTAGATCCCAGAGCCGTAAAGCCGTAAAGCACATCTCACATGGAGTATAGAATATAGATATAGAATTACTCGCTTGCATACTGTTAACCGTCTGAACTTCTTAGGGGCTTGTTGAAAATCAGCTAACGACTTATGCTGAGACGGTCCCTTTCACTACTTCATAATAGCACACGATTTTTGTTTTAATATGTGTGTGTGTGTGTGTCTTTTTTTATAGGATAAGTGTAACAAACGAGCACACAGTCCACCTGATGGTAAGTGGTTGCTGCGGCCCATAGACATCTACATCTATCCTCTATTACAAATCAAAATGCAGATGCGTTGTCACCCGTGAGGACCAAGATGGAATGCCTCATTTCAAGTAAAAAGGGCCTCCGGCTACCTGCACTCACCAAGCGAAACGCAGAGGTAAACCTTTACTTCACGCTGGTATTCTGTGAGGTCGTGGTACCACCCCGGTTCGAGCCGGCCCTTCCGTGCGACAGCAAAGCCGCCACGTGGCTCAACCACTGTTAAAAATATGTTTGAGTATGTTTGTCCGCATACACATATAATATGTGTAGTTCTTTCTGTGTGTTCATGTCGGTATTCTGTGAGAGCGTGGCCCTTCCCCGGTCGAACCGGCCCATTCGAGCTGCAACAGCGGTAATTTCTATAGCAGAGATCTCGTTTTTGTTACCCCTGCTCCTTCTTTGTTAGCCTTTTAAAATCTATTGCCGGTCATGTGGCTCTCACGTTACCGTCGAAATCTTGGCACAGTCACTCTTGGTAGACTGAATGAAGATCGCAGTACACCATTCGTGAACACCAGTCTATTTGATGGTAAGTGGCTACTGCAGTACACGGTCTTCAAAGAGAGAAGTCTACCGAAGTGTTGTCACCCCCGAGGATTAACTACTTATACGTGGTAGAGCCATGCTGCAGCTATATGAGTAGTATAGTTGTAGCATGAATGGGTCGGCTCGACCGGGGAAGGACCACGCTCTCACACAATATCAGCGTAAAATAGCAGTTTAACACTGCTGTGTTTCGTATGGTGAGTGTTGAGAACCGGAGACCCATTTTACTGGCAAGGAGGCATTCCATCTCAGTCCTTACGCGTAACAACGCATCTGCATTTTGATTCGTAGTCGAGGACAGATGTAGATGTCTATGGGCCACAGCAACCACTTACTGTACCATCAGGTGGACTATGTGCTCGTTTGTCACCCTTATTCTATAAATAAAAACATAAACCGAATTCTGCATCATCACCCTCTGATGAACTGTCGAGGCTATCAAGCAAAACAATATCCATTTTGTTTAAAAGACAATTTTGTTTGTAAACGACTAGTCCGGTGTATGTAATCCAATGAGGAACGCACACTGGTTAAAAGATATATCTCACAGTGTGAAAGCCAATCGCGGCATATAATTTATATCTCGAGATATAATATATATTATATCCCATAGTGCAAAGCGAGCTTTAGAGGGTAGTATATACCCAGTATGTACACAGAAATAGAGTCATACCGCTTACAGTTAACTTTAATGTTTATTTATACCTTTTCTAGGTATCACACCACCCACCGATTTCGGCCTTCTACGTCTCAAATAGAAAGGAAGGCTTCGTTATAGAAGGAAGTTTGCTAGCGCGCTCTAAGTTCTACGGTAAGAACGGATAATTTTTATTATCTTTATTTTCTTGTTACCCTACTGCGACCGAGCCTACAAATCGGATAATATTATTGGCTTGTTTGTATGCCCGCTTCTATGCATGCCTGTACTAGTCGTCTTAGACTTAGAAGTCAAAAGACAGACATAGCAGAAATTAATTGTCAGAAACTTATGTTATGATAGATAATTTTATCCATACAGAAGTTGTCTCGAAACAATAGCTTTTTGCAATAATTTTTGTTTACAAGTAAATTGTTTTGTTTACGGCTCCGTAACGCAGTATCTTAGCAAGAAGTTACAGCGGTAAGCGCCGCGGGTTCGGATCCCGCACGGAACAAATATTTTTGTATGGTTGTCCTTGTGAAATGTGTATATGTAAACTCCACCCACGTATATACGTATACACGTATATACCTAGCAATAAAGAATTTTCAATATCTATATTTCGTTTCTAAATGTGTTTTCTACCGACTTCAAAAAGGAGCCGGTACTCAAATCGACTGTATGTTTTTTTTTTTATGTGTGTTATCTAATAACTTTTTTCTACTTGAACTAATTTTGATGATTATTTTTTGATTTGTAAGCGGGTGCTTCTCATGTGGTCCCATATAAGGTCTGACCAGTAGTTTTTGAGTTATCCTTAATAATTTATATTGAAGTCGGTCGTACAAAATTTTGGAACGAAGTTCTTTATCGGACGGCACGGGTTTGGCGCATGGGAGCTAGGCGACCAAAAGTGTAAGATTTTTTCATCACTACCCCTTGTGTCATAGTGTAGACGGCCTTGGCGGTGAAATAAGGTGTAAGATGGAATAATATCCATCTCCCTCGCACTTTTTCTTATCTTGCCATGAAAGAAATATTATTTTATTTCAAATGACGCTTTATTTTAATATAATAGTAATTCATTTATTTGTATTTGTTAATTAATAATATAATACCTACGTTTATCAATAGTAATATACTATGTAAGGAACTTCGTTACAACCGAGTGTACGACGACACTCACGCATTTTTTAATTTTACCACTTGTTGTTTCAGGTAACTCGACATCTGCTATTTTGGAGGGATGCGCGCGGATCCACCTGTTGAATTGGGGCGAGACGTACGTCACCACCGCCCCGTACGCACACTGCAAGGGCATCGTCATCGGCACGCTCAGTATGGAGCTGGGAGGAAAGGTGGGTCGTCACTAGATTCAGTACACATGTGAACAGGTGATGCTTGGAGGCTGGTCCGCTCGGGTATGCTATGCAATGACGGGCTACGAATTTTTAAGGTTATTTTTGAGTGCATTATAGAACGTGCTTCAGTTACCGATAGTTCTGTTTTTCCATTATATTTATACCATGCTATTGTAATATTAACTTTTAAACAAATGGTAAAATTTTGTCCAACCGACTTTAGTATAAACAAGTCAATTAAATACGCATTATTAAGTATAGCTCAAAAACTACTGGCCAGATCTAGATCAAATTATATGGAATCATATGAGCAGCATCAGATTTTAAATTAAAAAAAAAGAATCATCAAAATCGGATCACCTAGAAAAAAGTTCTGAGGTAACACACATAAAAAAATACTGTCGAGTTGAGAACCTCCCCTTTTTCTGAAGTCGGTTGAAAATTGTCAAAAAAGAGGAAACTCGCGGTGTTACTTTCGCCGTTTCTTCTCCGATCAGAGGAACTTCATATCGATACAGTCGTAGATTTGACCAATGAGTGTTAGTAATCTCATGCTCACCAGATGAACTTATTTGGTATGCAGGTGGTCACACAGTGCCACCATCATTGAAAAATTCCGATTCAATAATAAGTTTTTCAGTTTCTGGTGTAAAACAATGCTGTATTCTTTAATTTTTTACACATTTTTAACTTTTTCTCCTGACTTCAAAAAAGGAGACTGTACTCAATTCCACTGTATGTTTTTTTATGTGTGTTATTTTTTATTTGAAATCTGGTGCTTCTCATGTGGTCCCATATAAATTTGATCAAGGTCTGGCCAATAGTTTTTGAGTTATTCTTAATAATTTACATTGAATTCGGTTGTACAAAATTTTTAATTTTTAATTATTTTATTTACGAATAACCGTAGTTTGGTTTATTAATTTATATTAGATTGGTGAGAGAGATTATTCTGTACACTTTTCTAACAAATTAACCTTTCCCAATTGAAGTTTAGTCAAATATTTCACCTTATTCGTAAGTGGCGCCGCCCTGGTGGCAGAAAAAGTCGTGGATGCCATCGACAAACGAAATTTTGTTTTCTTACTTTGACTAAATAAAACATATTTCATTTCATTTTATATCTTGTCGCTGTGACGTCGTATCAAGGCCTCTTGATACATTATGTTTGTTCAAACACGCTCAAATATTTATTGCATTCTATTAATCACACTATACAAAAAAAACCTAATTTTAGATCCATAATTAATGGTACATTTATGACACATCAACGTAATACAAAAGTCTCAACTAATTACGTAGAAAAGATTTGATAATGATAGATAATTATATATAATATAACTCTATGATAAAAATCTCTCTTCGCTCTGAACCTCACCCTAAGAATTCCATCTCATAGCACTTCCTTCTATTCTAAATTCTTTTCTGTTGAAGCTGTTAGGCTCTGGAACTCCCTACCGCTGCACATTAGAAGTGCGCAGTCTATTGAAAAGTTTAAAAAGATTGTCAAAGCGCACTTCTTTCCTCCTTAAATAGTCATTCCTCTAAAAAATTACTACCTACTCATTTTTCCTTACCTTAATGCTTTGATCTTTTCTGCTCTCGTATATGTATGTCTATATGTTTGTATTTAAAATGTATTTATTTATTATAGTATGTATGTATATATTGATTATATAATTATATGTATGTCGTGTGTATTTTCCAACATCCTACGTACACACTTACCCTTTCTCACAAGTATTTTTTTTATATGATAAGGGTGACAAACGAGCACACAGTCCATCTGATGGTAAGTGGTTGCTGTGGCTCATAGACATCTACATTTATCTTCGTTTGCGAATCAAAATACAGATATGTTGCCCACCTCTTGGCACTAAGTTGGATGGCCTCATTTCCAGTAAAAAGGGTCTCCGATTCTCTAAAATTCATTTTATCCTGTGCTATGGTTGCCTGGTAGAGATCGCTTCTAAGCGATAAGGCCGCCAATTGTACCTTTAAATAATTTATGTTTTTTTCTCTCATATATATTTCTGGTGTACAATAAAGTATATTTAATTCATTCATTCATTCATAATAATTGACTTGTAGTATATCTAAGTATAACTATAGTTGTATTATATAGCAACCTTCCTAATGTATTATCGACACAAAGTGTTACTGAATAGGAGGGAACCGACTCCTGAAATACAGGGTATCCTAGTTTAGGAGTCAGGGCTCAATGATGTTGTATGAAATAGAAGTGTCAAATAAAGATATTTATTATTATTATTATTTGTAAATAGTTAGTTATTTCATTCATATTATTATTTGAATTGTACTATGGTTTACAATTAACTTTAACGAAGAGAGGTTGACTTAGCAAATAATAAAACGTTTTTGGTACCGTTTCGGTCTGCTCACGCTAATAACTGTTCATTTGGCGACTTATTGGATATAAAATTTTTTGTTGTAACAAAAACTATAGGTTCTATTTTAATGAACATTGGAAAGGGGATTAATTATGCGAATAAGCGTCGAACGGAACTGCTTTTTTGAAATTACACACACATTTGCACGCATGCACGCATTCTGATACAGACTAAGACATGTACGCAATTAAAAAAATATGTTGAAATATAGATTGTTTTAAAGTAGACTCATTACAACAACATGAAATAGAAGCATAAAAAGACAACTTAACTTTTTAACATATTTTTAAAACTATACTTTCTTATAATTTTCATTATTTATTCCTTCCTTTCCAGACTATACAAAATCTTTAATACCGTTAATATATATCCTATCTCTATTTTTCAGGTTCACATAATCTGTCAAGATACAGGCTATCAAGCTGACGTCGAGTTTAAGTTACGTGTAAGTTAACATTTACTTCAACTTGTTATATATGTTACTGTAAAAGCTACGGTGAATTCTAAGATTTTGCAGTAAAACTTAAGATTTACCAAGTCCAAAAGGTAAAAGTCTGAAGTGTTCTATGGTAATCGTTTGTTTCGGACTTTGACAAGCATTCACTTAGTAAATCTTAGTTTTTACCTCTGAGACACGGTAAATGTTGAAAAATAGTCATGTCTAGACGTGTTCGGTGCATTATCGTTCTTGCGAACAGTGTGCAGTCCTCTCCGCTCTCCGCTACCTGTGTCACCTTCTGTTTTTATTTTGAGACTGCAACGTCTCCGGCGCTGCGGGAAGAGCAGCCTCTACGCCTTTGCGTAACAAATCGCAGGCATCCACACATTACAGCTGGCGGAGGCTGCTCCCCCTACGCGCCTCCGGCTCTGTAAAAACACTCTAGGGGTAGGCCAGACTCGTACCAGGTGGAGTCCGGGTCAATCAATTCGGTTCTTTGACATAATTTATTAATCAATTTTATACACATATTGTATTGCTTTAATTAATTCTTCGAAAACATCTTCTTCGGAAAGAATCGACATCCCTACCGACGATGACAATGACAATACATAATAGCGTCAGTTTTACGGTAGGAATTTACATAAATATTGCAAAAATAATTGATATTCAATATTTTTTTTCTCAAAAAAATACGCGTTTCCGCATGTTGAAACTTTGCGCGTGTGCTTATAATAATGTAACCTTTATGTAAAAAATATCAACCCCCAACTCGACGAACGTCAATGGAAAGCTAAGCCTCTTTATTTTTCTATATTCTACTTTCAAAAATCACCATAAAAATATTTTAAAATTATGTAGGTAATATGATTCAATGTTTATTAAAAACTTTCTACTTCATCATTACAGCCCTTCACAAGTCCACTGCTGAATATAGGCCTCCCCCAAGGAATGCCACAAAGCACGGTCCTGAGCCACCTGCATCCATCGACTCCCTGCATATCTTACCAGGTCGTCACTCCATCTAGTGGGAGGACGCCCTACACTTCGTCCGCCGGTACGAGGCCGCCACTCGAGAAACTTTTTCCCCAACGGTTGTCGGTTCTTCGAGCTTTATGGCCGGCCCATTGCCACTTCAGCTTACTAATCCGTTGGGCTATGTCGGTCACTCTGGTTCTACTGTGGATATCATCATTTCTAAGTTTATCTCGCAGAGAAACTCCGAGCATAGCCCTCTCCATAGCTCGCTGAGCGACCTTCCTCATCCGGCCAGCAGTGAAGGACCACGTCTCAGTACCATAGGTCATCACTGGCAACACGCACTGGTTGTACAGTCTTGTTTTCAAGTTTTGAGGTATACCTGACTAGAAGATGTGTCGTAATTTCCCGAACGCTGCCCAACCGAGTTGAATCCGTCGATTGACCTCTCGGTCGAAGTTGGACTTACCTAGTCGGACCTACCTATTTGGCGCAGGTAAACATGCTCGTCAATAACTTCGAGCTTAGTGCTCCCAACAACTACCGGTATATGTGTGACATGGACATTAAACATGATCTTTATTTTGTCCATGCTCATCTTAAGACCTATCCGTTGGGAGACACTATTGAGGTCATTGAGCATAGTGATTAGGTCCTCCAGCGATTCTGCCATAAGGACTATACATTCTACTTATATAAATATATTGTTTCATTTCCATAACCAACACTTACTGATAGACTTCGGTTAAACCTAGGATGTACCGAACTCTAACAGTAAAAGCGCGAAAAATCGTCGCATTTTATATCAATCCTTAAATTTACCAGCTCATTTTGGTAAATCCTAGGATTTAAAAGTAAAACCTAAGATTCAAGAAAATTCGGGCTTTTACAGTAACATATACATAATACCCTTACCGTTAGCCTATCAAAAGTTCACTGTTGAACATAGACCTCCCCTATAAATTTCCTTTGGGGCTGGATATTTTTCATAATTGCCACACTTGGCATGCGAATTGGCAACCGCAGTTCTTTATATATATATATATATATATATATATTTAGTTATATGTTTATTCGAATCCAATTAACATAATATTTAGAAATTAAGGTGTTGATGCAAAAAAGATAATAGAAAGTATGGTAAGTAAAGGGATGTTGAACCATTGACGTCGTCACCTTGAACGTCCCTTTACTTGCCTGCGCCCGCGCACTGCACACGTCCTACAGGACGGCTCCAGTGCGCGGGCGCAGGCACGCTGCGAGCTCTTTCATGTCGCGTCTTACAACACTCACGGGATACGGGGAACGGGGATTGTTACAACCTTAACTAGAATATAATATTGCAGTCCACCCCAGAATCATTGATTTGTAATATGATTTAGTTATGTATGATATGTAGTTTTTTATATATGACTAGTTGTCCAGGCAGACGTTGTTCTGCCCTTTTCGACGACCCTTCATATAAAAAAATCCTTAAATTCGTGATAAAAAAATATTGAGTGTCACTTATCAGGATAAAAACTATCCTATCTCTCAAATCTCTCAGTCAATTATAATATCTCAAATCAGTTCAGTAGTTTAGGAGTTTATCGCGGGCAAACAACGTGACACGTAATTTTTATATATAAAGATAATGGTCACAAGCAAGCTCACTATCCACCTGATGGTAAGTGGTTGCTGTGGCCCATAGACATCTGCATCTCTCTTCGTTTGCGAATCAAAATGCAGATGCGTTGTCAGCCGTGAGGACTAAGATCAGCCGTGAGGACTAACATGCCTCTTGGATGGATGCCTCATTTCCAGTAAAAAGGGTCTCCGGTTCTCTACACTCACCATACGAAACACAGCAGTGTTAAGTTGCCATTTTACGCTGGTATTCTGTGAGAGCGTGGTCCTTCCCCGGTCAAGCCGACCCATTCGTGCTACAACCATAATATAGTTGCAACATAGCTCTACCACGTAAAAATTGGTGGTTATTGTTTGTGAAGACAGTAATTTATAGTAATTTATAAACAATTTAATTAGTCTAATAAACAGAGTTCCATTCCTAATTTTTTTTTAAAGAGCATTTCAAAAATTCAATATCACATCACATTTTTGGTCCATTTCAAAATAATATTTGTACTTAACTGTGGAATTATTTAAAAAGTATAAATAAACAATTTTGCTGAACCCTGGTGAATTCCATTATAAATAATAATAAAAAAAAATATTCCATTATAATAATAATACATAATTCCATTCCATTCCAAATGAATTCCACAGAACCCTTAGGTTAGGGTAGAGTAAGGTTATTATGATATTAAGGGATCTATGGATGATAATCTTCTTCATGATTGATTGTATGAAGAAGATAATGAATCTGAAAGAAGCGAAAGAGGTATGTAAGGATTGTGACACTTGGCGATTGTTCTCTCTGGCTACCCCGTCAGAGATTGTGCGTGAAGATAAATATAAGTATAAGTATGGATGATAATAACCCCTGGGAATGAGGTGTTCGCTACCAAGCTATTTCTAATTTGTTTTGTGTTGTAAATCGTGTAACATACATGACTGTAAACTGCATCTTTTTAAAGAAAACCGTTTTTGAAAAAAAAAACAGCTCTGCTGAGTTTCTTGCTGGTTCTTCCCAGGACAGAGTTTTTTTCCGAACCAGTGGTGAATAAAGCATAAGAGCGACTTTCAATAACTATTATTTATAATCTATAGTGAATAAAAAGCTTTCTGTTTCTATTCCGCGGAACCCACTTTAAGAATTTCTGCTTTAGATAGAAAGACTTTCCTTATGCCGTAATTTGAACCGAACGATGGTTTAAATCGAATAAATGAGCCACTTTTTGTAATAAAATGGATATGTTAACCTAAAATCTTATCTACGCGTTTGTTACAGTCTTTCCTAGGTGGCGCTGATCAGACAAACGCGATCTCCGGCAGGATCAAGAAAGGAAAGGACACAATTGCCACTGTAGAAGGTTATTGGGACGGCAGGATTGATATCAAAGACAAGAGGACTGGGGTGAGTTATTTTTATAGAATACTAACGACCCGCCCCGGCTTCGCACGGTCCAATTGTAAATATAAACCATTCTCTAATCAACTAATCAATCTAATCACACAATTTCATCAAAATATGTGCGGCCGTTTAAGAGGAGTTCAATCACATATACACGGACAAACGAATTATATAATATGTAACATACATTTATTATACATATAAACCCATCATCTTGAATCATTCTGTCTGTTGATGAAAACCGCATCTGCAATCCGTTGCGCAGTTTAAAAGATCTGAGCGTACAGACGGCGGGAAGCGACTTTGTTTTATACTATGTAGAGATAATTTATAAATAACTCGGCTACAGTCTTCTACGTTTGTGGTTTGTTTGAAAACACATATTCTTTCCTCTATTCTTTAAATATATATAGAAAGAGAGAGAGAGAGAGAGGAGTGACGAACGAGCATACACTTCACCTGATGGTAAGTAGCAGTGGCCCATAGACATCTTAATTTATCCTCCATCAAGAATAATTTTTTTAAAGAATTAAAATGCGGATGTTTTGTCACCCCTGAGGACTGAGATGAAATGCCTAGTTTTGAGAAAAAAGGGTCTCCGGTTCTCTACACTCACCATACGAAACACAGCAGCGTTATGCTGTTATTTTACGCTGGTATTATGTGAGAGCCGGATGAGGAAGCTCAAGGTCGCTCAGCGAGCTATGGAGAGGGCTATGCTCGGAGTTTCTCTGCGTGATAATCTCAGAAATGAGGATATCCGCAGTAGAACCAGAGTGACCGACATATTCCAACGGATAAGTAAGCTGAAGTGGCAATGGGCCGGCCATATAGCTCGAAGAACCGACAACCGATGGGGAAGAAAGGTTCTCGAGTGGCAGCCTCGTACCGGCAGGCGAAGTGTAGGGCGACCCCCCACTAGATGGAGTGACGACCTGGTAAGATATGCAGGAAGTCGATGGATGCAGGTGGCTCAGGACCGTGCTTTGTGGCATTCTTTGGGGGAGGCCTATGTTCAGCAGTGGACTTGTGAAGGGCTGTAATGATGATGATGATGATGATTATGTGAGAGTGTGATCCTTCCCCGGTCGAGCCGACCCATTCGTGCTACAACTATACTACTAATATAGCTGCAGCGTGGCTCTACTATGTATAATATGTAAATAATGTTTGCAGTTTCATCATGTTCAATTACGTATAATTTTATTAAATTAAAGTTGATCTCTCTCTTTTCATTCAACACTACCATTTCGTTGCAGGAAGAGTCGAACCTTCTAGATGTAGGAATCCTCAAGGAACAGCGTATGACAAGATATTTGATGAAGCTGGAACACCAACAGGAGTACGAGTCGCAGAGGCTCTGGCAGCATGTTTCCGAGGCGATATATAATGATGACCAAGTTAGAACTTTATACTAGATTATTTTTTTTAAATAACGGTGACAAACGAGATATGAGCATACAGTCTACTTGATGGTGAGTGAACGCTGATGGCCCAAAGATCTGTATGGTTTATCCCTTGAGTGTTACCGACTAATCGGACTATGAGAGTGAGGGAATAGAGTGCACATACACTAGGGTACTATAATCCTGCCCTACGCAGACGGCTAGTCTCTGTTGAGACTGGCCGCTCTGACCGAATCTCGGTCTTGAGGACATTATTATCATAATCTGATCCATAGAGACCGTAATAAAAGTAAAGTTGCAGCCTTTATACGTCCCACTGCTGGGAACAAGCCTCCTCTCATTTTTGAGAGGGTTTTAGGGCAAGGAAATATCCGCCGCGCCGACATTACCAAAAAAAAAATTTATAACTAATCAAAAATGTTATTGTTATTTAAAATATTATGTACATATTTTTCTTGCAATTTGCTTAACCTCTCAGATCCCAACATTGTATCGGACAAACTTCGTCATACCAGTGGCAAGGCCAAGGTCAATAATATATTTTTTAATACTTTTCGGTTCTCAAAACCAGGCCCTTGGCAACTAATGTATGGAACCTATACGGAGTTAATAACAGCGCCTAAATTTGCAGAGAATTACGTCGACTTCGCAGGTCGGTGTAGTACTTGACAAACTGTGTAGATGGCGCTATTACAGAATTATTTCATTTGTAAGATTGGTTTTACCAAACTTCTACTTGGTAACTTTAGCCAAGTTTTTTTTTCGATAAGGGTAACAAACGAGCTCACAGTCAGTGGTTGCTGTGGCCCATAGACATCTACATCTATCCTCGATTACGATTCAAAATGCAGATGCTCACCTCTGAGGACTAAGATGGCATGCCTCGTTTCCAGTAAAGAGGGTGTCCAGTTCTCTACACTCACCATATGAAACAAAGCAGCGGTAAGCTGCTATTTTACGCTGGTATTCTATGAGAGCGTGGTCCTTCCCCGGTCGAGCCGACCCATTCGTGCTACAACTACCAGTAATATAGCTACAGCTCTACCACGTAAAAATTATTTCAAAAACTCTTAAATGAGAGTATTCCCTATTTATTCTGTATCTATCTATTCATTTTAAAATACTATGTTGTTTTTTACTATGTTATTCTGAATTTTCTTCACAGTTTATGGGAAATCTCTGATTTTTCGAAAAAAAAAAAACATTGTATAGACGGCGCTTTACAAACTGGAAGTTGTACAAAATGGCATAAAGAAAAAAAAACTACAAAAGCCTCAAAAAATATCTGTTATGTCTTTTGAACAGCAAATAAACTTAGTTAAAGCTACAGCAACAGTAATTTTCTTTATGTTCTGTATTAGAAGTAAAAGTGTTCTGTGCTAATGCGGAGGAGAGAAATTCACTCAACTCAACGCAATAATTGAGAAACAGAACTGTAATAAAGTAAAAATATAAAAGAACACAAAAAAATGCCACATCCAACAAACACCAGTAAAATTAAAAAATGCACCAGACATGTTTTTAGGTGCTGCCATTTTATAAACTTAATATTTAACTATACAAACAAAAGTCATAAATTTAATAATTCTGTAGCAGCGCCATCTATCATCATCATTACAGCCCTTCACAAGTCCACTGCTGAACATAGGCCTCCCCCAAAGAATGCCACAAAGCACGGTCCTGAGCCACCTGCATCCATCGACTTTCTGCATGTCTTACCAGGTCGTCACTCCATATAGTGGGGGGACGCCCTACACTTCGCCTACCGGTACGAGGCTGCCACTCGAGAACCTTTCTTCCCCATCGGTTGTCGGTTCTTCGAGCTATATGGCCGGCCCACTGCCACTTCAGCTTACTAATCCGTTGGGCTATGTCGGTTACTCTGGTTCTACTGCGGATATCCTCATTCCTAAGTTTATCACTCAGAGAAACTCCGAGCATAGCCCTCTCCATAGCTCGCTGAGCGACCTTGAGCTTCCTCATACGGCCAACAGTGAAGGACCACGTCTCAGTTCCATAAGTCATCACTGCAGCAGCAACTTGAGCCAGCATACAGCTGACAGTTGACGATGGTATCTCAAAGCGCCTAAGCAGACAGCCACCTTATCTTGAGATTTACATCACCATCGGACCACTAATAGTTCACATGCGCAGACATTTAATAAACAAAATTGCACCACTTTTACGTATCAAAATCCACTTCAAACCATTATTTAAACAATAATACAGGAGCAGCAAACCACCGCTGGTCAAGTACCCGGCAAAACTCCCACGGTTTGTCAAGTACTACATCTACCTGTGAAGCCGACGTAGTTCTCTGCAAATTTAAATAATGGCGCTGGCGGAAGGTGTCATTTAAAGTCAATTCTCTTAATTAATTTAGTAACAAGACTAATTATCTTATAAATAACATTTAAAAAAGGATTGTTCTGAGGGGTTTACAAAGTTGGCGTTTGCTTATCCGATGTAATGGTCTCGGACTACACAGATTAAAATTCTGCATATATTTAAAATCTGGCAAAATCATCTTCATAAATCTATCCTAGTTTGCGAATCAAAATGCAGATGCGTTGTCAGCCGTGAGGACTAAGATGGAATGCCTTTTTTCCAGCAAAAAGGGTTTCCAGTTCTCTACACACACCATACGAAATATAGCAGCTTGAAATTTTCATAGAATGTATTTCTGTTACCGCAATAACAACAAATAATAAAAATAAAAATAAAGGGAGCTCCTCTACTAGAAACATGTTTTACGATGGTACGGTCGCTATATACGCTCTTCATGCGCAAGTCCGATTCGCACTTGGCCAGTTTTTGTATTATAAGATGCTGTTGCCCATCTCCCGTTTCAGTTTCCTTCTGACGCCTCTTACGACACCCACGGGACGATATGGGATATATGGATACTTACACCGCCACTACGCGGTTAATTGATGTCTTCCAATTTGATTGATTTGTATATGACTATGTAAAAAAACCATTTTACTTCATTCTAGGCAGAATCAAGTAAAATAGCTATTTATGTCTTAATCGCATGCAAATAATCCCCTCAGATCAATATCAGACAGTTATTTCGATTTCACACACAGACACTTCATTTTTATTGGGTTTCCGTAACCAAATGGCAAAAAAACGGAACCCACACAGCCACTTTTTTCCGAAACTATAAGAAGTACGCCGTTGAAACTTGGTATGTAGATGTATTTTGTGAACCGCATCCCCATACTTGTGTGTGTGTGTGTGTGTGTGTGCGCGTGTGCGTGTGTGCGTGTGTGCGTGTGTGAGTGAGTGTGAGTGTGTGTGTGTGTGTGTGTGTGTGTGTGTGTGTGTGTGTGTGTGTGTGTGTGTGTGTGTGTGTGTGTGTGTGTGTGAGTGAGTGTGTGTGTTTGTGTGTGTGTGTGTGTGTATGTGTGTGTGTGTGTGGGTCCTGTAACTTCTAAAATAAGAGAATGATAAAACTAAAAAAATATATGATGTACATTACCATGTAAACTTCCACCGAAAATTGGTTTCAACGTGATCTAATAAGTAGTTTTTTTAATGCGTCATAAATCGTAAGCCGCAATTTACCTTTCATTCAATCAACTCAAATATAAAAATTAAAAAAATACACTATTATTAAAACATCGATCAAAGTTATAACGAACTACAAGAACTTTTATATTATGTTACTTGCTGCTACGGAACCCTTCATGGTCGAGTCCGACTCGCACTTGTTTAAATTATTTAGATCAAATGCTACAAAGTGGTTCAAGTGGAAAGTAAAAACATACTTGTGACACCTTTTAGTTTATCTATGCAATAATATTTTAATTTCTAGGTGGCAGCGACGGAACAGAAGACAATAATAGAGGAGGCGCAGAGGGCTCATGCTAAAAGTTTGCTGGCGCCGTGGTCGCCGCGTTTATTCCGCAAGGACGTCCGCGCTGTTCCAGAAGGTTCTTGAATTTTTACTCACGTTTTCGTGATAGATTGTGATCGTCTTCATGATAGATTATGATGGTATTTTTATGATAGATTATGATCGTCCTTTCGTGACACATGATCGTCATTTCGTGATAGATTATGATAGTATTTTCCTGACGTCTTGTGGTGGAAATTGAAAGCAGTCAACTATAGAAAAGATTTACGTTTCACGTCTCTTGGTGGGTTGTTAGTGGGATTTATTTATTCATAATTCATTACAGGCTGTCAAAAGTTTTTTAAGTTTGTCAAAAGTTCTATTGTGAACATATGACACCCCCAATGTGACCTCTTATGACGCCCAATGGATGATATGGGGATCATCACAACCCTTCACAAATCCACTGCTGAACAAAGGCCTCCCACAACGAATGCCACAAAGCACGGCCCTCAACCACCTGTATCCATCGACTTCCTGCATGTCTTACCAGGTCGTCACTCCATCTAGTAGAGGCCGATATGGGATTATGAATAAAATATAAAAGCCGGCTTGATTGTGATGGAATGTAGTTATAATTAACGAGAAATCTGTTTTAAAACATCTTACGGGTAAGGTACCATCCATAAATTACCTCTCTTGTTATGGGAGGGGGGGGGGGGACAAAATGTGACATTGTGTGACAAGGTTTAAAAGCTATGTGACGTCACACCACGGGGGAGGGGGTTTCACAAGTGTGACCACCTTTGACAAGGAACTGTCCGGAGTTAAATAACTGAAGATATCAATACAAAAATATTCTTTATATATTATTTAAAAGTATTGAGGGTAGAACAAAAGCGGTCTTATTGCTACATAGCAATATGTTACACACAAACAAAAAAAGAAACAAATAAACATTAGAGAAAGAATAACGGGTAGAGTGCACTAAAATAAGAAAGGACACCAAATTATGTACTAAAAAGACTACATACTTCAGGTTTTAGGTCCGTAACTATAAATAAAAAAAGTAAAAGAGAGGGGTTAGGGAGACAAATAGTGTATCAGTCAAATGGATACCGTTATATATTTTTTTTAATGAAATAACCTTTTCCGTCTGTATTTATTGAATATATAGATACGACTTTACTAAATAATTTTATCTTTTGTAGGAATCATCGATCAAGGTTGGAGATATCAACACGTCAATACGAGGTATGTGTTTTGGTAATATTCTTGATGGCCCTCCAGATGTTGTTCTGTCCTTTCCGGTAGTTAGTAGAAAGTTACAATCCGGACTTGTTAGTATAAAAATAAAATTTATCGATAAATCCACCACTTTATCTTGTAAGAAAACTATTTAAAAAAATACTAACAATATTATTAATATTCCCTTTAACCACTCCCGGTAAGCTAAACGTTGTTTTCGTTTCTTGTGTTAGGAGTGGATCCCGACAGTAGTAGGATGGTGGATTCGAACCCATGATTTTTTGAGTTCGCATTTCGCACCCTGTCGTTAGGCTCAAATCGTTTTGTAAAAGCTTTTAGAAAAATTTACTTCGCAAATATCCGCGTTATAAAATAAAATGATGTGTCTTACCTAGTATGAAGAGCACCTCCCGCCCTCCCTCAATTGCGTGCACTATCCCCGTCACCACTAATCCCAGCACCGCTACTCCCAACACCACTACACGAGGCAAGACACACCACTGACGATAATACGACACGTGTTCTCTATACGAGGCATCCTCAGGTGATATAGACTCTACGGTGGCTAACCGTTAAGTGAGCGGCGAGCCAAAACAAGTGCCTTTTATACAGACCGATGACGCAACCGCTCTCTACTTAAGGAGCGAGCGACTGCGTCATGCGATAAAACATGCGACCAATCACCGCCGGACTTACGCAGCCGTTTGTAAAATTAAAATTTGTCGTCAGAGGTGTGTCTTGCCTAGTGTAGTGGTGTTGGGAGTAGCGGTGTTGGGATTAGTGGTGACGGGGATAGTGCACGCAATTGAGGGAGGGCGGGAGGTGCTCTTCATACTAGGTAAGACACATCATTTTATTTTATAACGCGGATATTTGAAAATAAAAAGTAAATTTTTCTAAAAGCTTTTATATAATGGATTTCCGCAAATTAACGCCTGATTCTATTAATTATATCAAATCGTTTTTATTGTGTTTTAATTTATCTTTTTTTACTTATTTTAATTCCCAACACTTTGGGTGCTTTACAGCCTCAAGAGGTACCTTAAGGTCTTGCAGTGGTATGCTTGGATTTGGATTTAATTTTATGAATTATTATAGCATCCCAAGCAGATGTCACCCAGCCATCTTGTCTTTTGAAATTTAGATGTTTTTAATTTCAATAGCCTCGTGAACAATGCTTGGTAGGAATAGATGTTCCTTTGCGAAGATTTGTGGTTTTTCAAATTCAATGTAATGGCGGGAACGGTCTCGATTATGTTCACAGACTGCAGACATCCTTCTTCTTTAGAAAATAATTATATATATGTTAAGTAAGCGATAAATCAGTAAAATTTGTCTTATTTCAATGTGGAGTGTTCGTGTAAATATCTTCACTGTTTAATTTTTGATGATATGATGGGCGTTCTTCTCTGCATGAATTTTGTGACACTAATATTATAAAAACAGTAATGGAAAGTACGAAATGTTTGTAATTATACGCACACAGCCCGTGGCAGCCGGATGAGATAGTAGAATACGAGGAGGAGTTTGTGATCTCGTCGTGCGTTCGACGAGCTGAGAGACTTCGGGAGCCACCTCCTCCTTCAGACTCCGATTCAAGGGATGATCTCGCTCGAAGGTCCAAGACTTCTACGTAAGTCCACACACTGACTTCTCAGAACCAGCTACAAACATACACACACACACACACACACACCCACGATTATATATTATATATATTATTTATTTATTATCAGTATGTATTATGTATAATTAGTATTTTTCTTGTATTATATTTGGAAAATATAATTAATACGTAAGTATACGTGTATGTCCATCCATCCATTACGGCCTATGAAAGCACACTCCCAAATTATTTAAATTTAACATTAGTTCAAAATAAACTATTTATTAAAATCAACTATGTAAAGGATTACCAGGGCTAATAATTTCCCGCTCACCAGATGTCGCTAGTGGAATTGAGGTGAAGTTATTTGTGTCATAATAATTGAGAAGTTGCGTCATTATTAAATTTTAAAAGTTTCTAAGAGTATCTACACAAAACAATGCCTCAGTGCCGTGCTCTTTAATATTTTGCACATTTCTCGACTCTCTTTTTAATTATTCTACGTTTAAACACATCCTTAATTTCGTTTATCTATTTTTAATCTAATTTATTAATATTATTGATATTTCAGAAAAAGTGCTATAAAAATAATATGAAATCTGTGAAATAGTTCACCTCAATCTTAAGTGCTGTCGCCCTGGTGGCAGAATAAGGATTTTTTTTTATAGAAGAGGGGCAAACGAGCATGCGGCTCACCTGATGGTAAGTGACTACCGCCGCCCATCAACAACCGCAACATCAGGGGAATTGCAGATGCATTGCCGGCCTTAGAAAGGCTCTTTTCTTGAAGGTTCCTAAGTCGTATCGGTCCGGAAAATTCGCTGGTGGTAATTGATTCCACAAGGAAGTTGTGCGAGGGAGAAAACTTCTTCTAAATCGCACAGTGCCACCGCCTATCATCCAGACGGTATGGATCGTAACGCGAGTTTTGTCGCGATGTGCGATGGTGAAATTGAGCGGCTGGAATTAGTCCGAACAATTCCTCAGAGCACTCCCCGTGATAGATGCGATAAAATACACAAAGAGATGCAACATCTTTACGCAGTGCCAGTGTATCGAGCCGATCAAAAAGAACTCGGTCATCGACGATTCGAACCGCTCTGCGCTGGATGCGGTCAAGTGGAAGGAGCTGGCACTGAGGAGCCCCGGCCCAGAGGCGAGAACAGTATTCCATGTGGGGCCGAACTTGCGCTTTGTAAAGTTGCAAGCGATGTGCTGGCATGAAGTACTGTCTCGCTCTGCTGAGCACGCCAAGCTTTTTAGAGGCCAATTTGGCCTTCCCTTCCAAGTGACCACGAAACTGCACAATATTCGATATGTCGACGCCAAGGATTCAGATACTAGCTGAGGCAGCAAGGGGAGTGCTTTGAAACTGAGAAGATACGACAAAGGGGTTCTTTTTAGCGGTAAACGCGCAAACTTGTGTCTTCTGGGGATTGAACTGGACTAGATTTAGTCGGCCCCAATCCGAGACTGTTAAGCAAAGACTCGACTTCAGACACAAGTTTGTCCCGGAAGGATGTGGAAATCGGAGATGCCCTCATTGACATGAGTGTTTATTATTGGAACGAAGTTCCTTATCGCACGCTACGGATATGGCGGATGGAGGCTAGGTGAAAAAAAAGTGAAGTCACGACCCTTTCCATAGTGTGGACCACCTTGGGGGCTATAAGGAAGCGAGATGGAATAATATTTATCTCCCTCACACTTTTGAAAGAAATATTATTTTAAATGACACTTCATTTAATTGACGCTAGTAATTCATTTATTTGTATTTGTTAATCGACTTCGTTCTACTTCGTTCCAACACAGTGTTTCACGACACTCACGCATTTTTTTTTTGCTTTGTATTATTACAGACGCACCCTCAAACAAGCCCTCATTGCGATCGACTCAACACTCCGAGAGCAAACTCTAGCAATAGAGAGGCTCTCGAAAACCGTCAACACTATAAATGAGAACCAACGTTCGCTAGAAATGAGGGCACACACACTGGTAAGAGCCCCAACAACGTCCCACACGTGGGACCTGTGCAGCGGGTTCGTCCTCGCGATGGTGTTGCAAGCCGTACTCAACTGGTTGTTCTATAGCAAAGACTGAAGGTGTTGCCAGATCCATCCCGTTTCTATTTTGATTCGGTACACTACTGGTACGTTGACCAAAATTTGCTGTCGATTCTCTTGCGAGATGTTTTTTGTGTCAGATTATGGTTTAATTTGCTGTCGGTACCTTTTGTGCCTTAACGTGTCAGATGGCTTTTTTGCGTTATTTATTAATATTAATTATGTATATCTGTAATTATGATTGTGTGCGTCTAAAATTAAAGAAGATATAAAATATTGTTGTATTGAATGGTATATTTTTAAATTATAATAATTATGTACTTTTGCTCCGGTCCAATCTATAAATAACATAGTCTATACTAGCAGTTAGGCGTATGTTGTCCTTCCGGTAAATGGCGCGATGAGTTCTACTTCGAATTCACTCTGGACTTTTTACAGTGTAAATATAAAATTTATTTATAACTCCACACAGCATTACCTATCGGATTTTTAGTAGTCACATATTGTGATTGGGTCGTTTTGGTATACAAATATAGAATTTGTTAACAACTGAACTACAGCGCTACCTGTCGGATCCGAGCTTAGCTATGAACCATCGTCTCTACAAAACAAATGTATTGTGTAAATATGAGTTCAATCGGTCAAGTTACATGATCACTAACAGACGTACCAACGATTATATAAAAAAAAAATTAAATTGTTATATGATTATAGTTAGCGTTATTTATTCTATTTATTTATAACTTGATTACAGATGCACCAACGATTTGTATATAAAAAATATGATTTGTTTATAGATGACGTTATTTTACATTTATTTACCTTTCCAAGATGATATCGTAATAGAGACATCGTGTATATAGAAATAAATTATAAACATCATTGTTTTGTTCAACCTTTTCTTAACATTAATTTACTTGTACTCTGTAAAAGGTACAGACAGCAAAAAATATATTAGATAGATGAAAAACGGTGCCCCTACTGTAAGTTTTTAATTGTAACTGCAGAGGAAACGAGTGCTTCTAAAAGCGGCAGTTAGTTTTGAATCACATCCGCCAGATAGCGCCTTTTACGCTGACTTCACTCCGCCAGTTACAGTTGAAAACGTACACATAATAATTAATATTAATTAATTCATATAATTAGTAATTATTAAATATTTAGTACCTAAATTCACACAATAAGCTGTCACATCACTTGAGCATTTTTAGGAGTACGAAAATATTAAACCAAAGTCATTTATTGGAAGCACATAAGAATCGGGCTTCTTATAATTTAAGTAAATTAACTTGCCAACGCTTTTAATGTATAAAGACAATATATTTTTCACATTTAATACATTTCTGGCCCTGCTTAAGCTAAAAGAGAAAAGTAGACAAAAAAAAATTCGGCCTCTTGACACAATCCACGTTAATCCTAAGATAAGATTTGCCGTCATCGCCACGATTGAGTGGGAAAGTGGCGATTGATGTACCAGCCACCGCTCGGTAAATTTTTAAATTTAATCCTGGCAACTTTTCAACATGTTAGTTAATATAGGTCATAGATATAGAGAGAATAGACTGTGCGTTCCGTATTCAGTTGTGGAGTGAATATAGACCGAAAAGTGCGAGAAAGACAAAGATAATGTGCGGCCAGTAGTTGTCTCTTTAGAATTCTGATAGTCCACGTCACTGGCTTGCAGGATGTTGAACAATCAGGTTTGCAGGAAAGAGAGGTATTGGCCGTACCGTCGCTTTGTCTCTTTTTAGAAAATGGTCACTTGTGAGACTAACGCTCAGTTTATCTCTCTATGTCTATGACAAAGGTATTGATGTTAGCTATTCGAAAGAAGATGGCGGTTACATGATGACATGAAAAACTTAGCTATGACATTTTGCATTACCCTAATGTTTCACACTTTATAATAATGATCACAAAACCACTAGACTTATATAAGAAATAGCAGGGAAACGGGCCCATTATTTTCGTGCAATTGCTTACTATCTGTTTTGTTACGAAGCCACCCACTGGATGAGTGGCTTTACGCCGATAAATGAATTATATTGTGTAATTTCCCCAAATTAGTAATTTAAAAGATATACGGCCTTATTATCGTTGAATACCACTACTTAAATTAAGTACTAATTATCTGTATACCCGTCTCTTTCTATTGTCATTTAGTGAAAAGAGAGAGAGCATCGTTGATTATCGCTTACTTAAATTAAGTACTGATTATTTATATACTTGTCTCTTTCTATTGTCATTTAGTGAAAAGAAAGAGAGCAATTTAAATTACTTAAAATTGCGTCGATATTTATGAGTAAGGCCGATAGTGTTTTACTCTTATATTTCACATTTTAAATGTATCACACAATGGCGGACTAAAATTGAGGGCAGGTGCTTTTTTTATTTTATTTAAAAAGAAAGGGCGAAGATAGTTTTATGATAAAGCATGATGTATAGCAAGGAAAAAAGATGTTTTTTTTTTTAATATGATTTTAGATAAATTTCAGTTTGGTAATGCGTTATATATTGATTATGTTTTATTAATTTCAATTAAGAAATTTAATTTGGTTTTTTTTTTTATGAACTTGTTTTAGGCCTTTGAGTCACAACGCTAACATATTGCCACTAATCTTCGAAAAACTACGATTACAATGTGTATTCACACAAAAATATAACATAAATATATATTTTTATTCTTTTTTGAGTTTAGTTAAATACTTTTGTATTATTACTTAATATTGATCAAACTTTGTGATTGTTCACCGTACCTATTTAATAATTCATGTTATGCTATAACCCAGTGCAGAAAAGAGTGTCAAACTCGGTAAGAATCTGTGTTGCCATTTTCATTTTCCTACCACGCGAACGGAATCTCGAAGGTATTTTCGTGAGACTTTCTGGTAGAATTTCGTTCGATATTTGAATTCTACGCTAATGTTGCCATTGTATAAGTATTATTCCCTTTCTATTTGTAGGTTAACTTTGGTTATATACTATTGGAGAACGTTATAATCTACCGTTTTGGTATTTTCAGTAAGAGTTGGTGTATAATTTGAAAACGTCTCTAGTAGTATATAATCACAATTTATATTGTATTTAAAAATTTCTACGTTACTTAAACGTAATGTAATAAATGCAAAATGTTATTTTCAATTATGATTGTGTAGTCTGACGTCGCAGCGGTTAGATGAACCATTAGATTGTTGATATTTTTGTTGTTTTATCCAATAAATATATATTTTTTTCCAATTCATATTCTGTGTTTTAATTCTGCTGTTCCCTGCGAGTTCATCCGAGTGGAATTTATTACGATTGGATTTCAGGGGTTTAATTGTTTCGCGCGGAACCCATATTGTTTTTAAAATAAAAATAGCTCAGTTACTCCTTATAACATCAGCTATCTGCCAGTGAAAATTCCGTAAAAATTGGTCCAGCCATTTCGGAAATTAGCCAGAACAAACAGACAGACAGACAAAAATTAAATTTTTTTTTGTTATAAGTACCGTATATACTTTCATATGCATTTAGTAAAAAGCTGTTATTTTGACATTACAAAGAGACTTCAGTTTATTTATTCGTATAGGTAACGTTGTGTAGTGAATCCACTACACCGTATAATCTCGTGGGTATCGTAAGAAGCGATACAGCAAAATGAAACAGAATATTGGCATCACCATCTCCCTGACTATAACCACCATATTCCTAACAGTTGAATACAAGTCTTCTTTCAATGCTGTGAGAATTTTGGAGCAGAGATGATACAACTGCGCTTCCCCAACATGTGTGGTAAACTTCATATCACCATCTTACAGCCTATCCAAAGTCCACTTCTTAACATGACCTCTCTACTGACCTCTACATACAGGGCATAGACTTGGCACTGGCGTATTGACGACCTGACAGCCCGAAAACGCGTGACAATTTTTGATTTTTCATTGTGTGCGTTAGCTAGTGATGTACATTTTACCAGGCCTCTGTCACTCTTGCCACCTGCGTGAAATAATTACCTACGATTCGCGAGGAACCCCCGGGATACAACGCAGTCGGGGCTAGCGCGTTCTAGACGATTGAATGTTAATGTATTTAACGCTGTTTACGTAAATAGTTTTTTGTAAATACTTGTTGAAATACTCGTCGAAATAGTTTTTGTTTAGTGTTTAGTATATTTCATTGTAGGATTAAATTGTTTGAAAAAGTTTTAATGTAATTTAAGGATATATGTGTATAATGACAATACGTCTTTCCTACTATAATTGTTGCGGGGATGGATGCTTAATGAGCAAACAAAAGGGTTCAGATATATCATTTTTTTAAGTTACCGAAGGATAATGAAAGGTAAAATTTATTTGATTTTTTTGTTAGATAGGTACTTATAGCGAAAAAAGAATTAAGTAATAAATAATAATTTAACTACAGAAGTAATAACTAAATACTTTATTACAAAACTTAGTTGAAATTCACTTCACTATCCAAGTACCTACTTACATATCTATACTTGTCTTTTCTAATTAAAATATTTTAAGTTATAATTACACAAAATACTGAAATCAAAATTTTGTTTACAAGATTTTAACTAAATAGAATACGATCACATTTCTGTTAGCCATCGTATTTCGGGTTTATTTGTTGTTTACACTATCTACCTATTCCTTACGAGCCAAGAATCGCGATTCCAGACGAATGGCCTTGCAAGTTGCATGTGTTGGGCATCACAGAACTCACATAGTAGCGGAATTATGGTTGATCATCGTCAGAATATGTACTTTACCTAAGTAACTTACCACTTCGCAATGTATTTTGTTACTCTTTATCAACAGCCCTTAGTAACCACGGAAAGTCCGTCGTGACGTAAAAAGGGAAAAGATGCAAAGTAATACGGACACTCGCGCGCAGCGATAAAGTTTTATTTAGCTTGCGTGCGCGATTTATCAGATTAATAATTATGTAGGCTATTAAAACGTCGGCAAGCAGTCAACATCAAAGGCGTGCAAGTTCTGTACGTAGTACTATTATTTATTCTGTGATTTTACTTACAAGAACGATCGAAAAAAGATTGTTAAGAAAAAATAATTTAGTGCACGAAACTGAGTAATTTAAAAAATATTCAAATAACAAGTTCTCAGGAATAAGCTGCACCTACCTGCCATTTATTGGATTTTAATTCAAAATGTACAAAATTCCAATAATCTCTGAAGAGATCTCCGAGTCTATCGAATAAACTAAAACAATTTTACCAACTAAGCAAATTTTAAAACTAAAATATTTACTGCCATTGACAGTTTTCTAGGAATTTCTTTTTTACCTTAATGTTAATCAAATAGGTAGATACTTAATTAAGTACATACCTTTTTATATTTGATATATTTTATAAAATGATTTGCTGGTGAATTAAAAACGGGGACACGGAGTACATAATGGCTACTTTATTTTTTATATTAAGTATTACTTTTAATAATTACAAAGATTTAATAATATTTAATTTTACACATTACATGTTAACATTTTATTTTTGTATGGAAAATGGGCCCAATACAAATTGTGGCGTAAATTAACTGTTACGGCCTACAGCTGCCCTTGCAAAGATTGTCCTGGCTGGGGCCCATAGCAGCTTCTTCGACGGGCAGACGTAGGTCGGGCCTCAATATGATCACGTGGAATATGTTCTATCATAATAAACTATATGGGAGAAAGCTAGAAACACATAGTACTTACCATTATCCGAAGCTAACTTCGCACCAAGGCTTGGGCAGGCCGTGAGTGTGTGTAATAGTGGATGGCGAGTAGTGTACAGTGAGGTGTAAATGTCTGCGACCTGAGCAAGCTTAGGCGACCAGCAGCGGCTGAGTTCCAGGCTGCCCCAAAATGCTGCATCGCTCCAGCAAGCTCGATCTATGGACCATTTCTTTCTTCATTGTCACTAATTCAGTCTCATAGTTTCATTGTACATTTAACTAACTTCAATTCGCCTAATTCCACACTCATCGCAGAATCGAACACGTGATATCCCACACGGCAAAGGACATTAGCACAAAATTCGACACTGAAAAAAAAAATGAAAAAAAAAATGAAAAATGTTTATTTTACAGAAAACAACTACAACTCATTGAAGTATCCGTTGGTACCCACACTAGGTAATCCTGTATCGTGGGTACCTATTTAGCATTGACTATTTATGTTTAGTTTACGCTTGGTTTACTTAATCACAACATTAAAATTTTAAAAACTAGTATAAAATGAACAAAGTATAATAAGAGATAGAGTAAAACGTTGCATTTCTTAATAAAAATGGTAGTTGCCTTTATGCTAGGTGTAAGAATATTTTTTCGGTCGAGTCATAATTTAAAGAAGCGAGCCAGGAAACAATTTTTGTTTTAGCTTCTTTTACAGAGCAATGTTTTATATCGCAAGCGCTGACTACTTTATTGTAAATTACCGAATCTATGTAGGGACTGAAACGTCTGGCAAAATACAAATTGGTTTTGGGTAAGGAGACCTTGAATACTCTTCGTTTGAGTAATTTTTTGTAGTCTTTGCATGTAATTACAGATTGATGGACTTTGAGAGCTAATTTTAAAATGTATAATTGACGCACAGTAAGGACTTTACTTTCCTGATGCAATCTATCTGTTGGATATCTAAAGGGTTTCTTTAGCATAGTTTTAAGAACTGATCGTTGGGCTCTTTCTAGTTGTATAATATGTGTTTTTGCGGCACTACCCCAGGATGTTAAGCAATAAGTGATCAAGGACTGACATAGGGCAAAATATACAGACCGGAGAATTTCTATAGATGCTGAGTGTCGGAGCAGTTTCATGATGTTAATAATTTTTCTCACTCGTCCTGAAAGAGATCTTATGTGATCTTTGAAGTTTAAATTTTGATCAATCAAGATACCTAAGTATTTTGCCACGTCAGTCTTAGTCAACACCACACAGCTACAATGTTTCCGGCCATGTTCACAGGTGTGCAGTTTGAATTGGAGTATTGGGCTAGGTGCAGAAATTGCTGTTTTGTGAAAACAAATGTAGTTAGTTTTAAATGAGTTCAGCGTGAGAAGATTATTCCGCAGCCACGCAGATATTCGTCTCATACCCACTTCAGCCTTCCCAAAAACCTCTGGCCAGGTGGATCCTTCATATATTAAAACTGTATCGTCTGCGTAACAAATTATTTCGCCTTCGACATTAGCGAATATGTCGTTTATATACATAATAAAAAGCGTAGGTCCAAGGATGCTGCCTTGAGGTACTCCAAAATTGATTGATTCCTGACCACTGACGAAGCCACCGACTCTAACGCATTGTTTTCTATCCGTCAGGTAGCTACGAAACCAATCAATTGCTACGCCTCTTACGCCAAATTGAGATTCCAGCTTCGCTAAGAGTATTGGAATCGAGACTGTATCAAAAGCCTTCGACAGGTCCAAAAATACAGCAATACTGGTTTTATGAGCATCCAAATGGGAGGCTACTGTAGATGTTAACAAGTTGACAGCATCATCTGTTGACTTTCCACTTCTAAAGCCAAATTGCCTCGGTGATATTAAATTATTCGATTCAATGAACTTTGTTAGTCTTTTGTTAACCACCTTCTCAAGTAATTTGGAGAATGTTGTCAGCAAAGAAATAGGACGGTAGTTTTGCGGGGTGTCCTTAGGCCCATTTTTATAAATAGGTTTAATGCATGCCTTCTTCCAGTTTTCTGGAAAATAATATAATAAAATAATAATAAAATAAGTAACAAGTCATTACAAAAATTACGATAGCGAGTATATATAATTCGTTTGAGTGTGTCATGTGGATTTTCTCGCGTTTGCATGTGCAAACGGTCTCTGTGTCTCATACAGCGGATTAATCCGGAAGTGATCCAAGGTTTCATATTATGTTCTTTACGTTTTAATGTTACTTTACTTGTGTACTTGCTAATTGTTTGAAATACGCGAAGACAAAAAGTATTAACTGTTTTGTTAAGGTCATGAGAGTCAAATGATTCGGACCAGTCAATTTTATTGAGCTCTTTTCTAATCGCATGTATGTCGTGTTTAAGCCTAACGCGATTTAGTATCATTAAGTTATGCATAGTTAATGATAGACCTAATATTGTAATATCATGATCAGTTATGTCACTACAACAGACTACACCAATAGCACCCTCAGTTTTATTTACAAAGACATGGTCAATACATGCTTCCGCTCTTGTTGGCTTTGTTATAGCAGGAAACAGACCATGTTCTGCTGTTAAGCACAAGTATTCT